GCACGCACACGCGCCCGGCGTGAGTTTTAAGCCACCGGGTCCAGGACGCGAACTGCGGTCGACTACGTGGGAGTCCAGCGACATAGCCATTATGCTAACTGCTGGTTCCCTATACATATTTTTTTGAGAGTTTTTTGCTATAAGGCGTGTGCGCTCACTGGAAAGACAGAGAGACAGAAAGCGAGAAATCACCCCCCGGGGGGGGATGGCCACACTGTAATCCCTTCTCCTCTATTCTCCTCTCAGGATCTTGGGCACACACACACACATACACCTGGCGTGACTTTAAGCCACCAGGTCTGGGACTCGAACTGCAGTCGACTACATGGGAGTCCAGTGACATAGCCATTACACTATCTGCTGGTCCCGCATTAATTTTTTTTTAGCTATCACCATGAGGTAAAGGGATATGAGAACAAATAGGAAGCCCTAAATTGGTGTTCTGGACCTGATTTCCAGGAAAAATAAGAAATTACCAGAGAAGAATAAAATGAAAGCAGTCAAACATATGTTCCTTACAGAGAGAAAAATATGTGCAAATGCCCAGGGACTCTATAGTTATTAACAAACAGAAATGGCAAGGATGGTAAAAGGCTGAATTTAAGGTAAATCAATGGTCATGAACAATATCCTAATAGTCTTCTGCCCTCTAAAAGATTCTCAATCAGGATGCACTACCAAATTAGGTATTCAAATCAGACAAGAAATTTCTGGTAACTCAAGATGAAATGGCACACTACAAAAACTTCTGAAATCACTGTCTATAAAAACACAGAAATTTTGGGGCCACCATGTAGCGTGGGGGTTAAGACAGCTAGATCCCACACGGCCAACTTTGCAGATTGAGTTCAGACCCAGCTAACTGAAAATCATACTAGGCGCATATGTGTGTATGTGTAGACTGCTGGGGGGAATGGAGAAGGAATTGCAACTTTGCCAGCTATCATGAGAGGTGATTTCTCACTTTCACTCCCTGTCTCTCCAGCAAGCCCTATGGCAAAAACAAACAACAATACAAAACAAACAAACCCACAGGAATATTTATCTTTCACTGTTGGCTGCTTTTTTCCTTGAAAAAATTTATTTCTTCCATGAGCTAGAGTAACGAAAACAGAGACAGAACCCCCAAAAACGTTTTGATGCCATGATTCACCCCAGACTCAGCCAGTCCCAGATCACTGGACCACGTGTACTTTAGTATACTTACAAAGGTCTCCAGATGTGAACTTGGAACCTTGCCATGTGGGTCAGTCTTGGCACATTTTACCTCTGCACTACCACTGCCCCGCCCCTATCTATTGGTTACTTTCCAAAAACAGATTAAATTGCACTTTTCTGAGTATGCTGGTGAAAAGAAAAACTTATGACTTACCAAGTAGCACATGGGTCAGATTATAAAATGCCTATAGGGCCAAGTAGAGTCTTCCACTTCACTGGGTTGCCTCCAGTTTCAGACACTGGTCACACTCTTATTTTCTATACTGTTTCAAAATTATAATTGTATTAATAATTCTGTACTTTTAAATATAAATTACCTTATGCTTCCATTCACACCTTTGTCTAAAAGAGAATTCCAGAAATTCAATCAGAAGGGAGATAAAAGTCATTAAGACAAATCACCCAACTAATGATCAAATAACCTATAAAACGTCCTGGACCATCCCGTTAATTTGAAGTGGTTGATTTCTTCCTCACATCTAACATGCACCTGTCATGACTGTGTACTGGAAAAACTTACTGGTTCAAATGATGGAGTATAGCTTAAAGTTGCAAGAGCCTTCTGGCCAGTTGTCAAAAAATAGGTTACGTGTATAAGGTAATGCAGGAAAGCCATACAATTTTGCCACTCTGAAATGGCTGTTAATATAGCTATTTTTTCTCATTAGCTATAAATAATAATGTCAGTATGTCACCAGGTTTAACAAATCCAATGGTGAAACCTTATGCTAAGAAAGAATCACTCTGTTAATTTGGTAACCAATACATTGGAAGGTAAAGAAAGAACATTGCCAGTACATTTTGAAATCCAAACTTTTATCAATTATTTTCATTCTTTTATTTGGCAAATCTAAATGTTCCCTGTCAGGTTTCTATAAGCTAAAAAATAACTAACTTTTGCTTTATTCTGAGGATTAAACATGGGATACCTATCAGAAATTAATTTTTAAAGGAATTAAATTTTAATTTTTAGGCTAGTGTGGAGTTATTTCTTTCTTTCTTCCACAAGCAAGAAAACAGAGACAAAGAGACAGCAACCCCAACAGGCTCTTGGGGATGAGTACCACGATTCAAGCCCAGCTTCACTCAGCATCAGATCACAGCCATACACATGCCTGCTGTGTTCAGGGAGGTCTTTGGATGTGAACCTGGTACATTCTCATGTGAGCCAGCACTACAGAGTGTCATCTTTTACCACTGTACCAATATCCAGTCCCTTGTATCGCCAAGTTCTTGTAATTGATTCTAACATTTCTCTAAGAGCGTGACTATGAAATTCCACCTCTCAAAGCACAACAAACACGTTAGATGGCTAACTATGATACATCCACTCTTAATACAATTTCCTTTGTGGGGCCGGCAGGTGGCAGGGTGGTTAAGGGGACTAGACTCTCACGTGACCAACCACAGTTTGAGTCCCAGACCTGGTGCTTTCTTCCTCATTTTCTCTCCCCCCCCCCACTCTGTCCCTCTCCAATCAAATTAAAATAAATAATTTTTTTAAAAAAGAATTTCCTTTGCAAAGGGAATAAACACAGTTAAGAAAACTCTGATTTCATCACTTATAAAAAAAATTATCTAGGATAACTAGATAAGTGAAAATGGTTTTAAGAGTACTGAATGAGGGGGCCTGAAGGTGGCGTGGTGGTTAAGAGCATTGGACTCCCGCATAACCAAGCATGGTTCAGGTCCCAGACTTGGTGGCTTGCGTTCTTTCCTCTCTCTCTCTCTGCCCCTTTTTGATCAAGTTAAACTAAATATATAAAATAAAGTTCAATAAAATAATTCTTTAAAAAAAAAAAAAAAGAGTACTGAAAGAACTTAAAGCGCATATTTAGCCTAACAAGGGCACTGACCAGTCTTTTCACAATTCAGTTATTGGGGCCAGCATGTGACATGGTGGTTGGAATGCTGGACTGCCATGTGGCTAACCTGGGTTCTAGTCCTGGACTTAGGAGCTTGCTTTCTCACCTTCCTTTTTTCTTTCTCTCTGGTGCTCTCAAGTGCCCTATAGCAAAATTTAAAAATAACAGTAATAAATAAAATTACTCTCTTAAACTCAGTAGTTTTTGCAGGATCCTGAATTTTACCAAACTAAGGTTTGAACATAGCTGTTTAATATACATTTGTAAAAGTGGAATACACGTTTTTTTTTTTTTTTTGAAGAGGGTTTTGCTAGGGCACGTATGCTTGCCAGAAAGACAGAAAGAGACAGAGAGATAGAAAGTGAGAAATCACCCCCTGGGGGGATGGCCATGCCGCAATCCCTTCTCCTCCATTCTCCTCTCGGGATCTTGGGGACGTATGCACACGCGCCTGGTGTGAGTTTAAGGCACCGGGTCCAGGACTCGAACTGTGGTTGATTACATGGGAGTCCAGTGACATAGCCATTATGTCAACTGCTGGTCCCAGGGTTATCTTTTCTTGATCATGAAATACCAGAAAGAGAGTTACATATTTAACAGCGCAAATTTTCACTTGCACAGCATTTTATGACATCTGAAGAACTCAGAGATACCTCATTGGAAAATGGGAAATCAGACTATGATCATTATGTACATGAGAAATCTGAGATACAGACTAAGCTAATTGCCTAAGGTCAAAAAAGTAACTGAAATGTAGAGATACTTTTTTTTAAAAATATTCATTCATTCAATAAATACCTGATAGATGTAAGAACAATTTTATGGTAGAGACATTCAAGGTCCTGTTAATTAGTTTATATTGTAATAGAAGACAATACAAAAGTGAACACAGGCCAGCCAGTGGCATGGGGGTTCAGGCAGCTGGATACCCTATGACTAAGTCCCTGGTTTGTTTTGGACCAGGTGGCCAGGTACAGTTGTGTGTGTGTGCCTAACATCCCAAGAGAATGGAGGAAAATGGAAAAGAATGTGGCCATGACCCTGAGGGGCTCTTTCTCACTTTCCCTCTCTCTCTCTCTCTCTAGGAGTGCATATACTCTACTAGCAAAAAAAAATAAAATAAAAAGTGAACACATAAAACATAAGATCGATTCAGATACATGTTATAAAAAGAACATGGAGGGGGAACCAGCAGTTAGTGTAATGACTATGTCGCTGGACTCCCACGTAGTCGACCGCGGTTCGTGTCCCGGACCCGGTGGCTTAAAACTCACGCTGGGTGCGTGTGCGTGCGTGCCCAAGATCCCGAGAGGAGAATGGAGGAGAAGGGACTGCGGCGTGACCATCCCCCCTGGGGGGTGATTTCTTGCTTTCTGTCTCTATGTCTCTCTCTGTCTGTCTGGCGAGCGCACGCGCCCTACAGTGAAAATCTCTCTCTCAAAAAAAAAAAAAAAGAAAATGGAGGGAGCAGTAATAGCTACGTCGCCGGACTCCCATGTAGTAGACCACGGTTGGAGTCCTGGACCCGGTGGCTTAAACGCACAGCAGGCACATGTGTGTGCAAGCCCAAGATCCCAAGAGGAGAATAGAGAAGGGAGTGAGGCGGGTCCGTCCCCCTGGGGTGGGGGGTGATTTCTCGCTTTCTGTCTCTCTGTCTCTGTCTTTCTTGCGAGCGTACACGCCCCATAGCAAAAACCTCTCAAAAAAAGAACATGTAAATGGGGTAACAATTGCAGAATGGCATAACCAGAGTGGTCACAGTGAATGGTCTAAGAATGTATCATCTGAAGTGAGGCCACAATGAAGACAAATCATGCATGTGGTGGTCTACAAAAGAGCACCCCAAGTAGAGGAAAAATCAAGTATTAAAGGCCAGAAGCAGGAAAGATCTCAGACAGCAAGATGGCAAAAATACTGGACTTGAATGAGAGAAGAGTTTAGAGACAGTGTCCTATTTATGTATTTATTCAAGTCATTCTACAAGTTTTTTTCTTTTAAGAGTTTTTTTTTTTTTTTTTTTGCCATAGGGCACATGCGCTAGCCAGAGAAACAGAAAGGGACCGAAAGTGAGAAATCACCCACCCACCTCGCCACCCCGGGGGGGATGGCTATGCTACAATCCTTTCTCCTCCACTTTCCTCTCAGGATTTTGGGCACCCACGCACACAAGCCTGGCATAAATTTTAAGCCGCTAGGTCCAGGACTCGAATCGCAGTCGAGTACATAGGAGTCCAGCAACATAATTGTTACGCCATCTGCTGGCCCCAGAAATAAGAGTTTTAAGTCCAATTGGAAAAATATGAACTAGTTGATCTGATTTATGTTTTTTAAAAAAATCATCAAACTGCTGTAAGAGAAATGCACTGTAATACAATCAGGCAGAAGCACACTAGTGTTTCAGAAATACTAATCATCTTCTATTCCTTGTAGACTATTCCTGGAGTGTGGGTACATGGATGCCTGTTACTTCTGAAATCTTACATGTATGCTATATACATTTCTGCACATAGTATCAGTTTTTTTAAAGTATAGCAATGTAAGGATGGACTCAGAGGAAATGACTATTATAGAACGTTACTGTAACATTCTAGATCTCAGCTTAGATGATAGTAACCTGGAAGGGGGGTATAGTGGGGATGAAAACTAATGGACTTTAGACTATACACTGGCAGTTACAGTAAATTGGTCTTCTAGAGGGATGGAGGGGAGAAGGGGCAGGAATTAAGCCTGTGCAGCAGTTCTCACTAAAGGGAATTTTGTGCCCCAAGACACATGTGCAATGTCTAAAGACATTTTTGGTTATAATGGTGGTGGATGGGAGAAGTGCTACTGGCACCTGTGACTAAAGGCCAAGGATGTTGCTAAACACATTATAATGCATATTTGTATTGTAAAAAGAACTATCTCCCAAAAAGTCAATATTACTGAGGCTGAAAAACCCCAGTGGTCTAGACTAATTCCAATTGATTCCCATGCTAGAATAGCCCTACTTCCAGAGGAATTACAAAAGGGGGGGGGGAGGGAGAGAAGTCCTTACTTATTTCACTATTTAGAGACAACTAAAATAAACTATGGTATACATAAAAAGTTATTTTCATTAATTATTTTTAGAGGGATTGTTACAGGACATGTACACTCACTGGAGAGAGACAGAGAGATAGAAAGTATGAAATCACCCCCTCTCCCCCAGGAGGGGTGGCCACACAGCAATCCTTTCTCCTCCATTCTCCTCTCAGGATTTTGGGCACACATACACACACTATCTGATGGTCCCAATTTTGTTGTTGTTTACAGATTTTTAATTTGCCATATGGCAAGTATGCTCACCAGAGAGAAGGATGGAGGAGTAAGAAAACATCCCTATGCTGCAATGGCATCTCCTCCATTATCCTCTCAGTATTTGGGGCATGCATGCACATCCCTTCCCTTGTGTTTATCTATAATCCAATACTCACTGCATTTCCAAATACAAATTCCACCAAAATTTACAGAAATGGCTATGAACAGAAGACTTCAGCAGCAAGAAAAGTACTTTTTTTTTTTTTGAGACTTTTTGCTATAGGGCGTGTGCATTAGCCAGAAAGAGAGAGAGAGAAAGAAAGCGAGAAATCCCCCCCCCCCACCCTCGAGGGGAATGGCCACACCGCAATCCCTTGTCCTCCATTCTCTCGGGATCTTGGGCACACACACACACACACACACACACACACACACACACGGCCGCCGCGAGTTTAAGCCACCGAGTTCATGACTCCAGCCACGGTAGACTACATGGGAGTCCAGGGACATAGCCATTATGCCAACTGCTGGTTCCCAGGAGAAGAACTTTGGTAGACCTAATTCACAAAAGACAATATGCCACAAAATTGGGAAGTTAAAGCCTCACCCATATTTTGTTCAAGAATTTGTAAGTCTCCAACGTAAATTCACCCCACCTATGATAAAACTAAACAAACGTGACAGCCTAGAAGTAAAAAAACACAGGGACACTTCACTACCCTGAAACTCATGCTGGCTTCCCCCCAGGCCGGGCAGGCGTATCCCGGAGTATCACCGTGGCCGTCCTGGGCGCGCTTCTCCCAGGCGTCCTCCAGGCGGCAGCGCTACCGAGACACTATTGCGTCGCCGTCACGCCCGTCGGCGTCGCGCCCTTCCCCATAGATACACAGAATGACCTCGGCGAAAATTCCTTCACACTCTTCCCTGAGGCGGAGACCCGTATGAAACACCTACGCATTTACCTTCAGGTCTTCCGCAACCCAAGCCCAACCGCGGTTGCCACGCCAGTCCCACCTGCCACCCCGAAGGAACACTTATGCCCCTTCACCACAAGAAATCGCGGTGCGGAGGCGCCAAAATAAACCCTATTCTCGCGAAATCTTAAACTCAATTCTCGCGACGTATGTGGGCCTGCGTCTCTTCCTCTCTCCGTTCTCGGCCCCCCACCCACCTAGCGCGTTGCCCCAACGCGTTGCCTCAGAAACATCGCGAGATTTCGTCCTTCAAATCCCCGCCCCTTTACGGCACGATGGTCGCGCAAGAATGTGATAGAGCCTCGACAGCCGCCATTTTCTTTCTTTCTTAGCAGTTAGCTGAGAGGGTCTGTGGGAAGAAGGGGCCGTGGCTGCTGTAGTGTAACCATGGCAGACTATTCAACAGTGCCTCCACCGTCTTCTGGCTCAGCTGGTGGTGGGGGGGGCGGCGGGCGGGGGGTGGTGGCGGCGGCGGCGGCGGTGGTGGAGGAGTTAACGATGCTTTCAAAGATGCGCTGCAAAGAGCCCGACAGGTAGGTCTGGACCGCGCGGCGGTATCCTGGAAGCTGACGGTAATTGGCCGCTGGCTGAGTAGGCCGCTACCCTTTGGCGCACGAGGAAGAGGAACGAAATGCCTTTCCGGCCTGAATTGTGAAGAGACTCTTGTGACCCCACATTGGGTACCGATTGGAAACCCGAATTCGGTTTTGTTCTTGGTCTCTGAGCCACTTAAAAACCTCCGAGCGTGCTACGCAAAGATGGCCCGAAGTCATTCTCCCACTGCTGCGGCATTCGCGCTTCTCCCAGGAGTTAACTTAGCCTCCTCGTTTTCCTCAGAATGAACATCCTCTTCCGAATTATGAAGCGTGTATTGTTTCACACAGTTAGATAGAAGGTTCTCGTAATGAACTGGGGAAAAGATTCAGGGCTGTCTACGGGAGCCATAGTGAGGAAAGAGATTTGTTCCTTGAACATTATTACAGCTTCTAACTCATTTGAGTTCAGTAACTTTCGGCATCCATTCACCTTCACATATACATGGCGGAAGCTTAAAAAGAGCAGACTTCATCTGGGAGGGATTTACGTGTCAGTCTGTCCTACCAGTCTTCTCCCTTTATTTCTCAAAATGGCCTCAGGCTCATTATACCGGAGGTTTCAGTTTGAATCTGCCTCTCTGTTAAGAGTCGTAAACTGACTAGACTGTTACGTAGGTGCGTACATTTGCCCTGAAGTCACTTTTTTCCCCAGACCATGGGGGGGGGGTGCGGGGGGGGGAAGACGCATGTGCTTTAGGAAAATTAAAAGATTTCTAAATCTGAACTTCTTTAGATAGTCCGTTGATTTTAAAATAAAGTATGTTGTTGGTATGAACTTGTATGTAAGCAAAAGTAAACATCTTATTCTCGTTTTGGCATGTGCATATGACCTAGTCATTTTTAGATTGTTAAACCGTTGGTGATTAGAAATCAGGTTTTGTGGTATCTGTTGATTGCATTAGGAAGGCGTTCACTTTTTAACTACTTTTTCACCCTCCAGTAGGATTAAAGCATCATCAAGGCGAAATGAAACTTCATAGTCTGTAGTAATGTAATATCACTCTTATTTTTCTAAAGTGTACACTTTAGGAAAATGTACCTGTATTTTGTTTATAGCAGAAATAGAGGTAGTTAACCAAAGATCATCTTGTTTTTTTAAAGAATAATTTATTCTAATTTTATTTATTAATTTTTTTTTTTTTTTTTTTTAATTTGACGTGAGAAAAGGTGAGAAAGCAAGCCACCAGGGCCGGGGCTCGAACTCTGGTCTGCCATGTGGGAGTGTCCAGCGTTTTAATCACCATGCCACCTGCTGGTCCCCAAAAGGTCATCTTTAATACTTGTTCTGTGAACTTTTATTATTTTATTTTACTGTATTTATTTTTAATTTTGACCAGAGAGAGGGAAAGTGAGAAAGCAAGCCACTAGGTCCAGGACTTGAACCACAGTCAGCCATTTGGGAGCCAGCCCCTTTAACCACCCTGCCACCTGCTGGCCCCATTTTTTTTTTTTACCTAAAAAGTTTAATTATATTTTAAAAATTTAATTCTGAACATGCTTAGAATAACAATTGAAACATTTATGAACTGTAACAGAAGCTCCATTAAGCGCGTTTTATTAGGTGGGAAGACTTACCTGAATTTTATTCATCCAACATAGTCAATTTTTGCCACACACCATACAACTGGAAAATTTTTAAAAAAGAATTATTTATTTAATTCCATTTGTTTTATTTTTTAATTTGGCCAGATAGAGGGAGAAAGTGAGAAAGCAAGCACCAGGTCCAGGACTCGAACCACCATCGGTTTTGTGGGAATCCAGTGCCTTTAACCACCACGTCACCTGCTGGCCCCAAGATTTTTTTTTTAATGTGGGAATTGGATGTCTGCTTTCTGAGAAACCAGTGCAAATAGAAATAATTACCTGATTGGGGACCAGCAGGTGGTGTGGTGGTTAAGGTGCTGGACACTCCCACATGGCTGACTAGGGTTCAAGTCCTCAATCTGGTGGCTTGCTTTCTCACTTCCTCTCACTCTTACCCTCTGTCTCTCTCTGGTCAAATTAAGAAATAAATTAATAAATAAATAGTTATTTAAAAGAAAAAGAACTAATTGTCTGATTGATGTTTCACTGTGAGAAAAAAGACCATTATGGATACTGTAAATTTATCTTTTTCTGTAAACATTTTTAGAGTTCCTATTATGAATCATATTGTACAGGATACCAGTGGGATGCAGGCTAACCAAAGGAGTGATATTTGAGGAAGGCATTAAAGAATGAGAGAGTGGCCAGTAGAGAAAAGCAGCATGTGTAAAGGTATGGGATTTTTGGAATGACAAGAACCCAAGAATCAAGTTACTGTAGTGTTGTGTTAAAAAAGGGGAATGAAAAAAAAGTGAGGGACCAGCAGTTACCATAATGGCTATGTTGCTGAACTCCCATGTAGAGAACTGTGTTTCGAGTCCCCGGACCCAGTGGCTTAAGATCCTGGGAGGAGAAGGAATTGTGGCATGGTCATCCCCCCTGGGGGGTGATTTCTCTCGTTCTGTCTCTTTGTCTCTCTCTGTCTTTCTGGCGAGCACACATGCCCTATAGCAAAAAACCTCTCCAAGAAAAAAAAAAAAATGAGAAAAGCTACTAGTGAATCCACAGAGTGAAATACCTTGTTGAAATACCATGTTGTCTTGTTTTGGTTATAAATTGACCTTTATTATTAGCTAAGCCATAATTTCCTGCATTTCACTTTTCTAGGTTTAGAAATTATCCTCAAAATGGAATTTCTTGTTTTCTCTATGCTAGTATATGAACTGTCCTCATCTCTGATTTCTCTCTCTACAGATTTTATCTTAAATTTAGATCACCAAGTTTAGCTTTTGAGTGGGATTACCACTTACTACATTTGAGGTTGTGTCTAAATATCAGGTGATTGGGACCAGCAGATGGTGTAATGGTTATGTTACATAGTCAACCATGGTTGAGTTGGAGACACAGGGAGACTTAAAACTTCAGGCGGGGTTCCTGTGGTGCCCAAGATCCTGAGAAGAGAGTGGAGGAGAAGGGATTGCAGCATGGCCGACCCCGCCCCCAAAGAAGTGATTTCTCACTTTGTCTATCTCTGGTGAGCATATGAGCCCTATAGGAAAAATCTCTCAAAAACAGTTGATTAAGAGAATATTGAATTATATAACCAAAATCCCCATTGAAACTTAAGTTTTGTTTGTCGATAATCCTGTACTGTTTTCTGAGGGCAAGATAGTAGAACAGTTTCTTGTCTCTAAGGAGTTGAATAATTATCAGTGAGGATGCTATTGGCATTTTTAATTGGACAGTTCTGTTGTGAAGGAAAGAAAACAAGACAAACTTAATTAGGATCCCTGGTCCCTACCTAGTAAATACCAGTAGCATTCAACCCCGGTTGGTTATTGGCATCTGGTATTTTAGATCAGCTTGCCCCAGTCCTCTTTTTTTCTTGAGAATTCTCATGGTTTATTTTTATGTGAAATTTCTAAATTTTTACAGTGCTCTAAGCTAAATCCAACACACATTCACCATGTTTTCTACTTTAGAGTTTCTAACATGCACACTATAGAAATTATATTCGTGTATTTTAACAATAACTTAACAGATTGTCTTTGGTAATCGTGTTAATAAGATGTGTGTCTGGAAAATTAAAATGTATGTATTCACCTTTTTTTCTTGGATTATATGAAGGTACAAGTCAATCAGCGACAGACAAAAAGATGAATAGAGTGCTAGATTCTCAGCAAGACTATCTTCATTTCTTCCTCTTTAAACAACTGTTTAATCAGTCATAAAGTACTCAACTGTACTTGAAATTTCTTTCTTGATAACTTGTAAAAATGATTCAAGCTGCATTATGTGGTTTGGATGGAGTGGAAATGTAATAAAATAGAGCTGTTGCTTTTCTATCACCATGAGTCTCTTCAGTGAAAACTGCATTTGTGTATGATTCTTTTTAAAAATCATTTTGTGACAGGATAGCAAGACTTGATTGTGGTCATACGCAGCTCATGGGGCAGTAATATATTTAGTGTCCTCCACAGCTATTCATGAGTCTGCCTGTGGGAACTAATTCTATCAGGACCTTGTCCATAGTAGGTACTCAATATTTATTTATTGAATCAACTGCTATCTTTAATGAATTAAAGTAGTAATGAAATTTTATTTTTAAAATAATTATATTCTTTCGTAATTCATGTTCTGGATGCCCTACTATGTGATAAATGGTTGTGTCAGATCTTTGGGACTGAGAGTGTATGCGGTAGTTACAAGCATGTTTAGCGTAAATGGCACGTGACTTATTTCTTATCAAGATGAATTTAAAAAACTAAATTTTTTTAAGAATTATTTATCTTGTTTTACTTATTATATTTTCTAAACTAGCTAGTCATCAGAGAGAGAGGGAAGGTGAGAAAGCAAGTTGCAGGACTTGAACCACAGTCATCCATGTGGAAATCCACCCCAACCACCATGCTATCTGCTGGCCCCCAAAACTTAAGTTTTTAAAATCAGTTTTTTGAAATCTTGTGAGTCCTGTTTTATTGTTATATTAATATGCTGACTTGTTCATAATAACTATTAATAGCAGTTTGTTGAGGGTATACTATATATACTAGGCTCTATGCTAAGTGTATTTTTTATTTATTTGGGTCTCTTAGCCATCCCGTAAGATAGATGTAGAAACCAGTGTCCCTTTTTTACAGATGAAGCACAGAATGCTCCAGATAATTTGGCAAGTTCACAAAGCTCTGGGAAGTGTGTAGTTTAAATTAGGAGACAAATTTTTAAAAAATACTTAGGTAGTTAATTATCTTCTAAGAATTAACTTTTTAATGGTGTACCTGACTAATCTCTTCTAAGCTTTTTTCCCCCAACTCCAAAATTCTTGGGTTCTAGGAATGCCTAGTAAAGAAGGTGGAAAATGTTAAAAAAAATGAAAAGAAAAAATACTATTCAAGAAGTAGAGCAAGGTTCAAATGGAAAGTTTGAATTATTTTTGTAAATTAAAATCCTATAAAGTAAGAAATTCCCATATTTAACTTATGTATAAGAACTGAATATATTTGGAGGTTGGTTTCTAGGAATTACTATTTCTCTTGAATTGGTCCTCCTTTCAGTGACTTAGGAAAGGTATATTTCCTTTTGTTGTTGAAAAATGATCAAATATTATGTTGTCTGGTAGTTTTACTGAAAGCTCTTATCTAATAATGTCTTTGTTTAGTTCTCAATTATTGAGCTGGTCTTGCTGGTTCTTTTGCCTGAACTGAGTATCAACTTTTCACTTGAATAGTTTTAGAACTATTCGATGAATAAGGAGGTATAAATAAGTATCCTTTCTCTGTGCAGAAGTTCCTTGGAGTTCAAGGAGTGCTGCTCTGCAAACTCATGGAGCATTTATAAAAGCTAACTGCAGAAGGTATTCACAGCCTAAACCATTTTCTTATTGTTAGTAGTAACATTTTCTCTGGCCTGAAATACTTTCCTTGTAACATCAGTGCCTATCAATGCCAGACAGTGTATTTAAGATCTGAGGGTTGAAAAGTAGTGTTGTTAGGTATGATTAGGAAAATGTTCAGGGGAAAAAAATAAGATAAATATTAGATGTCCAGAGATAAAAACCAGCTTTTAATTGAGAAAGCGAAGTACATTTGAGGAAAGTTATGAAATTGACCAAAACTAGAGTCAAGAAAATCAAACGATGTACATTTTTTTGTTGAGCATTTTAATACTTGATCCAAACATGCTTTGTGGTAGGTATTTGCATTTATACATGAGAAAGGAACCATAGGAAGTACAGTTGTTATGTGAGAATTGATACAAATAGGATTTAGGTGATCTATATTGTGTTTTAGACTCAAGTCCTTGAACATACTCTTATCTTCTCCAGTTTCCTAATTATAATAAGGCTTGAGGCAGTTGGATTAGTTCTATATCAGGATCTCTGGGGGGAGTTCCAGTCACAGTTTGGTTTTATTTTTTATCATGCAAGATTTCATAAATACTCAGAGTTAAAAGAATGATATAGTGGGAACCAGCAGTTAGCGTAATGGCTATGTAATGGCTATGTCGCTGGACTCCCATGTAGTCCACCGTGGTTCACGTCCTGGACCCGGTGGCTTAAAACTCAGGTTGGGCGCGTGTGTGTGTGCGTGCCCAAGATCCCGAGAGGAGAATGGAGGAGAAGGGATTGCAGCGTGACCATCTCCCCTCGGGGGTGATTTCTTGCTTTCGGTCTCTATGTCTCTGTCTGGCGAGCACATGCGCCCGCGTGGCCAGCAAGTGCGCCCTAAACCAAAAAAAAAAAAAAAAAAAACTTCTCCAGAAAAAAAAGAATGATATAGTGACCTCTAGTGAGGCCATCATACATTTTTAATAATGATTATAAAACATTATAGTATGGAATTTAGCCCATAGCTGGCACTCAGCAGTATTAGTTCCATTTCGTCTTTAATAGAAAAATGCAGTAAATATCCACATGGGCCCTACTTGTGACTTAAAACATGTATTTCTTATGTTTGGGTAGTCTAGTGAAAGCAATTATTTGCCCCATTCTAAAAAGTTAAGTCTTTTAAGGATGAAGTGACTTCAAGAATTACGGTTCTGCAGTTGAGACATTCTTAGACTAGAACTTCTGGGGCTCCTAAATGTATCCTTATTCGTAGAACAACATTAACAATGTTAAATACAAGCCACATATTTTGTTTAACCCAACATATCCAAAATATGCCTTTGATATACGTTTAATGTAAGTTTTTGAGACACTTTCTTTATGTTCCAAAATTTTAAATATATCGTGCCTATCTTATTACTCTTGAAGCACATATCAATTGGACTTGACACTTTTTTAAAGAGAGATTTTTCTATAGGGCGCACGTACTCACTGGAGAGACAGAACATGAGAAATCACCCCCTGGGGGGAAGGCCATGCCACAATCCTGTCTCCTTTGTTCTTCTCTGGAGATTTTAGGCATGCACAGACACATGCCCGGCAAGAGTTTCAGGCCTCTAGGTTTGGGACGCCATCTGCTGGTCCCAGACTAGACACATTTTTTAAATATTCAGTAACCATGTGGTTAGTGACCACCTTATGAAACGACATAGCCTGTGTTCACGTTCATTGTGCCCAAACACATCTTTTGAAGAGTTATGAAAGACAGCTATGAGAAGGTAGAATTAGGATCCAGATTTTCTTCAAAGCTGTTTTCTATCTATTCCAAAGATTCCTTAATTGTTTGGTTTATTATTTATTGGGTCTTTTTGGTTTTTATAGGACTGTATCAGGAGCTTAATTTCCAATGATTGTTTGATGTCTCTCAAGTATTAATGGTAGTAATAAATTGAATGGTAAAATTTATTTATGGAGTGAATTTCCTAAGGTGATATAAAGAATATTTAGCATTTGTATTAGTAAATAAATTAGGAAATTTAGTACTGATAGTAGTTTGTGATGTTATCTGTGCTGATGCTATGTTTTTGTTTTATTAAGATTGCAGCAAAAATTGGAGGTGATGCTGGTACCTCACTGAATTCAAATGACTATGGTTATGGGGGACAAAAAAGACCTTTAGAAGATGGAGGTAAGTTTTAGCCATAAGTCTTTTAATAGTTTGACACACTGAGTAGTTGAAGTGATTTTTCCAGTTTTTTTTTAATGTTTCATTGAGGCATTGCTTTTATTAGAAGGTTCCTACAAATTGTAAGGTTTACATTGGCCTCAAAAAGAAAGAGGAAAAGAAGGGACCTAGGCAGGTAGGTAAAATTTGAGTCAACAAGAGAGTTTTGTCTTAGTAGGAAACAGTTCATTTTCCTTTTGGGGTTATGTCAGATTGACAACTTGCACAGACTTGTTGCTAATATTTAAAAACAAACAAACCAAAAATATAAATTGTTTAGGAGACGCTTAGCTGTTTTTTCTCATTCATGAATGAATCTTTATATGCCGTGTTTTTATTATTTTGCTATTTTCAGATTTCACTTTAAAGGTCGAAGTTGCTATAGTTTGCTAGTCTAGTGTGTTGCAGGTTATATCATTTTTATGTTACTTCTTTGTTTTTAGTACTTTGTTTTGTGTTTCAGGTTTAACTTAAATGTGTAGATTTAAAACAGTGGATTTACAGTGCCTTCTGTTTCTTTAAAAACAATTGTCAGAGCTTCTGAACTTAGAAGTCTGCACATATTTTTTGTTTTAGGTTTTGATGCATGAATTTTGATATATTTTCTTTTGCCCCTTTTTTTAAAAGGAGGATTCTGACTGAGCCTATAGAATGTATTTGTAGCTTTTGACCAGGAATACTTGGTTTCCTTTTATTTAAGTGTCTTTCATGTTTATAGTGAGGTTTTTAATTTACAAAAAAATGAGCTAATGATGCTTCAGATGTTGTATATAATGTATTCTTTTTATTTTATGTGTAGATGGCTCTTGGACAAGTCCGAGCAGTACAACACACTGGGAGGGAATGCCCTCTCCTTTTAAAGGCAGGAATTTTTATTTATTACCTGTGTTTAGTATGTAAACGTGAAATAAACCAGTGGATTCTTAAATGGACACAAGTATTTCTTGGATTATGTGTCTGAATTTTTGCTGCACCACATTCTGATGTTTAATCATTTAAGTTCAGAGGGGGGAGGAGAACGTAGTACTTTCAGCTATAGGTTGTCAATTCTGAGGTATACATTGCATTTATCTGTGTAATGGGTTTAGATAAAGGTAGTCATGTTGCTTTGAGTTTTTTGCTGAAGTTTTATGCTGTGAAATGTTTGTTTAGGAATAACTGAATAGTTTAGGTTGAGTTTGCTTTGTAATGTGATTTTCTTTTGGCATAGTTTTGTGGTCACTGTCAGATGTATTCAACTTTTTATGTCAGATTTTCACATTTGATAGTGTTTTTTTCTTCCAATCTTCATTTCCTACAGTAGAAGCATCATTAGCCTATATAGCATGTGATAATTTGCTAGTAATGGACCTAAATACTTTGTCTTTTATCAGTCTAATGTGCATAACATACATTAAGGTCAGTGATTTAATTCAATCAAAGAATGTCTGTGCATATCTGAAACATGAAAATGAAAAAATAGTTTTTCTTCCTTAAATTATTGAGTTGGAGTTGAGTTTTGGCATTTTGGTACAAAGGTTAAATCATACCCTCAGATAATTCAATATATGTTTATATCGATATTCTTGTTTGGGAAGAGAGAACTGTGTACTTACTGACAAAAAAAATTGAAAGACTCTTAATTTTGCAGATCAACCAGATGCTAAGAAAGTTGCTCCTCAAAATGACTGTAAGTATTTATTTAAACTGGATTAAAAGTTAAAATAGCCGAATTTTATTATCAAGGTTGTATTTCTGTTTTGGTGTGGGTATTTTTGTTCTTGTTGATTTAGGAATAGATCAATTTTATAATCTTTAGTCATGATTAGTTACATGTAAATATTGGTTGCTTAGTTAATTTGCATATTTATTTAACTTCACCAATTTTTAGTCTGTGTACCACATGATTTGTTCTATTCCTTTGCTAATACAATGTCTGTTCTTTCACTGGCTTTCTTGTAATTGTCAGTGCTGGCTTACACATTCTGCTCAGAGTATTATTTCTCTCGAAGGTTTGTGCTTCAGTGAATGTTTGAAATGATTATGTTATTAAATACAGTTTCATTTAATTTTTTCTATAGCTTTTGGAACACAGTTACCACCGATGCATCAGCAGCAAAGGTAGAGTCAAAACCTTTTCAAAAAGTGCTTTATGAGTTTTAGTTGAGTTTTCTTCAATTTTTTTTTGCTATAGGGTGTATAAGCTCACCAGAGGTGGAGCATGCCTTGTAAAGTGAGAAAGCATCCTTCAGGGTAGGACCACACTACTTTCTCTCCCCTTTTATTGTCTCCCTGAGATTTTGGAAGTGCATGCCACGCGTGCACACACACGCACACACACACCTGTGTGGTATGTTTTAAGCCACCGGTCTAGGAATCAAAATCATACTGGCCATGTGGGATCCAGTCACCCTAACCATACCATGCCACTTAGCTGGCCCAATTGAGCTTTTTATATAAATACAGTTTAATTAGTGTATAGTAATACGTATCTCCGAATTCACCCTCTATTTAGTTCATTTCCTTGGGAATGTGACAGAATGATCATTTTTCTTTTTGAATGAGCTATTTTTTTAATTCGAAAGGTTTGGTGGAATTAGCCATACTTTAGAAGGAATAGAGTGAATTAGCATAAGTATTAAAATGGTATTTCCTTGGCCTGTCCCTGGGGTTGGAGTTAAGGCAGCTGGATCCCACATGGCCAGTCATGTAGTTCGAATCCTAGACCCAGCAGTTTTCTGGACATCTGTGTCCTTGTGTGCCCAAAATCTGTAGAGAACAATGGAGGGGGAGGGATTGCTGTGTGACCTCCCACCACTCTGAATGGGTGCTTTCTCACTTTCTTGCCTGTCTCTCTTTCTCTCTCTCTCTCTCTCTCTCTGTTTCACACACACACCCCCTATAGCAAGTTATTGTTTGTTTTTTTATGATATCCCCTGAACTCTAACCCAGTTTCTTTGCATTTCATGCTTTCATAATGTTCTGTTCACCATCTTTTTCTTACTTGATATGTCACTTTAATCACAAGTTTAGTTTATTGTTCAAATGTCATATCTTCGCCATAAGTATGTGCCTAGGGCCTTAGTTTAAGTCATTGGGACATTAAACCTCCATTTTTATTGGTAGAGTACCTTTTATATGTAAACATACCTTTCTTTGAAGGGAAATGTTAGTTTCTGTTATTTTTTAGCAGATCCGTAATGACAGAAGAATACAAAGTTCCAGATGGAATGGTTGGATTCAGTAAGTAATCTAATTTTTTATTTTTGAAAATATAATCAAAGTATACTTTATAGTCCTTCAGAAAATAATTTTCTTGTTTTTTCTCTAACTAGTAATTGGCAGAGGAGGTGAACAGATCTCACGCATACAACAGGAATCTGGATGCAAAATACAGATAGCCCCTGGTAAAATTATTCTCTTGGTATTTTGAAAGTGACTAGAACACTACCATATTTCTTAGGTTGCTAGTTATAATGATGCCACTTGTCAATCTTTTGACAGGAAACTTTCTTTTTGTTTTTAATTGTAGACAGTGGAGGCCTTCCAGAAAGGTCTTGTATGTTAACGGGAACACCTGAATCTGTTCAGTAAGTATCAAAGTACTTAAAGTCTCCATATAGTGATAATATGAGGGTTCTTGAACTTTCTTTGCTTTTGCAGTATTGTCTTGCTGCATTCCGTGAAAGTCCTTTGTGTGTATGTGTGGTTTTTTTTTTTTTAAAGAATTATTTATTTAATTTTATTTATTACTATTGTAATTATATTTAATTTGACTAGAGAGGGGGAAAGAGGGGAAACAAGCCACCAGGGACTTGAACTACAGTTGGCGTGTGGGAGTCCAGTGCCTTAATCACCATGCCACTTGCCAGCCCCAAAAAAGTTTTCTTTTAGCTCCTTCAAAGTTTATGCTTCATATTTTTCTCAATTAGGGTTCTCCATCTGAACCTTGGAATGCAGAGCATGGTTAAAACCAGCTAATAATTCCATTCTCCCTCCACTTGAAGCCAAATGTGGCCTGGAGAGAAATACAGTCATGTTGACTGGTTTACCTAAAATTTGTAACTATTAAGCTGAAATTAAGTTGAGACTTACGCGTTGCCCACATTTCCCTAGGTTAATTCACTTCTCTAAAAGGCGCTCCAATACTGTTTCTTCCACCTCTATATTTTCAGAATCTAATTCCTTGTCTTCTACTTAAAGCTTATTTGTGTTTGCTGAAATAAGAAACGCTACTTTCCCTAACCACTTATTTGTGCTCTCTACATACAGTACTCGGTTCTGTATCCTTTGTGTTGTCTATGCCTAAAGCCAGCCCTTCCTTCCTACTGAAGGATACTGTCCTAAAATGGATCTTTCTCCTAATTTAGTTTTCCCTTTCTATTAATTAGTCTTTTTTTTTTTAAGAGAGACTTTTGCTATAGGGCTTGTGCACTTGCCAGAGAGACAAAGTAAGAAATTGCCCATGGGGCATGGCAATGCCACAATCCCTTCTCAAGTTTTTGAACACACATACACACGTGGCCAGCGTGAATTCTAAGCCACCAGGTCCAGGTCTTGAACCATGGTTGACTATGTGGGAGTCCAGCGATGTAAACATTACACTATCTGCTGGTCTCCAATAGACAATTTCTAATAGCATGCAGACATGCTTGAAAATAACCTCCATCTTAAAAAACCATCCCATAACACCATGTACTACTTTTCTTTCTTTCTTTCTTTCTTTCTTTCTTTCTTTTTTTTTTTTTTTTTCACTTATTTGAGAGAAAGACAGAGTAGCTTGGTAGGGTCATATCATGCCACTGTCTTCCTCAGAGCCTCTCAGCCAAGAGGATCATGAGTGAGGGAGGTCGAATATGTTTGATTTGACTCAAGATCAGCCTTTGGGCTTATGTGGTCAAAGCATCGTGCAACAGCTCCGTATCACCTTTACCACCCAGGCTGGGTTTTTGCCAGCATGTATGCATGCTCACCAGAGAAGGAGAAGACACCCTGCACAATGGGACATGATCATACCACATCCATTCCCCATTTTACGATCCTGTCAGGATTTTAGACGTGCACACACATGTGCCTGGCATGTTTTTCAAGCTGCTGAAGCGTGTACTCAAATGACAGCCACATAGGCTAAAACTCCCTGTGTGTATTTTCTTTTAAGAATTACTTTATTTATTACTTCATTTTATGAGAAAGAGACAGAGAGAGAGAGAGAAAGGGGAAGGTGAGAAAGCACAGCACCAGGTATGGAATTTGAACTATGGTCAGCCATGTGGGAGTCCAGCACTTTAACCACCACGCCACCTGTTAGCCCCACGCTCCTTGTGTCTGTTCAGACATCCCCAACTTTAGATCTAGGAAATCCTTGCTTTTAGCCTGATTCCTAAGCTCTCTTTTATTCATCTTACCTCTGGATGGCTCTGTATTTTAATTTCTTTCATATCCCATTTATCCATAAACTACCCTTACTCATCTCTTATTTGTAATTTATTCTGAACAAGGCATTTTGTCGCCTTCTGTTCCTTATTCGTGACACCCTTTGCCTATATTATTGCTTTATTATATCTTTAATGTTTTCTTTTTAAAGAATTACTTTATTTATTATTATTACTTGTTTAATTGGACCAGAGAAAGGGAAAATGAGAAAGTAAGCCACCAAATCTGGATCTCAAACTGCAGTTGAACATGTGGGAATCCAGTACCCCAACTACCACACCACCTGCTGGCCCTATATCTTTATTTTATTTTTTTCTTTTTTTGGAGAGGTTTTTGCTATAGGGCGTGCGTTCACCAGACAGAGAGAGAGACAAAAAGCGAGAAATCACCCCCCAGGGGGGATGGCCATACCACAATCCCTTCTCCATTCTCCTCTCAGGATCTTGGGCACGCACACACATGTGTCTGGCGTGAGTTTAAGCCACCAGGTCCGGGACTCGAAACGCGGTCGACTATGTGGGAGTCCAGCGACATAGCCATTATGCTAACTGCTGGTCCCCACATATCTTTTTTTTGGGGGGGG